AAAACAGGCAAAGAAGAAGAAGATAAAAAAATTTGTGTGTATGTCTCCTACATATCGGAAGAGAATATCAGAAAAATGGAATCATTTAGCCTCGAGATCTTTCGGAATTGCTTGAGGATTCTCAATCTATATAGGAACAAGCTATATGAATGACGTATAATAATGTAGAGAACTAGAAAGTTATATTCTTACGGATATAGAAGAAGGAGAAGTATACATAAGTGAGAGAAAGAGTCTGAAACTTTCATAGAACTGTTGATTTCTCAACAAAGGAGCAACAAAAAAAAAACGTTCGCTTGTGTTGCCGGCAGCGATTTATTCTCAATTTAAAATTTTTTTTCCTTCTTTTCTTTTGTGAACATTTTTATTTTTTTGAAAAAGGAACGAATTTTTTTTCATTCCGACAAAAGGCAAAAATCGCAAGTTTGAAAGATATTTTTAGTTTGAGGTGAAAAAAGCTGATTTTGTGATGGAAGATAATTGATTTTTTAAGGGATTTTTGTTGTTTCTTTGTGTCAAAATCAGAGTTTAAAGGTTGTAAGGACAGCTGCCAACAAGTTTTTAATAGAATTTTAAGTTGTGTGAAGTTCTAGGATTCAAGACTCATACAAAGTAGGCTCATAATCATGTATAGATCTAACCGGAAAGCTCCAACCATTTGTAGATAAATTTGCCAGACCAAGAATAAGACTTGCGTGACTGAATTGTTAGACACTTACCGAAAATCTGTAATTTTCTTATGTAAGATCGTGGATTCGATTCTTACAAATCTTGTCAATCATTTTGCATTTTCCATCATTATATTCCCGATTGGCACACCTTGAAATGTTGGTCACCCGGCAGCAGGGTTGATAGTATAATTAGAACCAAGCGGTAGCCAATTGGCAATGGCAGCAACGTGGCAAACTTGTTTCTAATTATACTATCAATCCAGCTACTGGTTGGCAATCATTTCAATGTGTACCGATCGGAATTGTTATACGAAGAAATCGGTCTCTTGCTCTTTATCATTGCTAAATCGGCTTAAAGTAAGTTTGAGTATGATCATAAAAAATTGGATATGATTGAAAATCGTCAAAACATAAACCAAACAGTTCCTGAATGCTTGGTAGAGATTAGATTAAGCAATCGTCATCTCGTTGACAAATAACTGAATATCTAGTGAGTCAGAGGTAAAACTTGTAATTTACAAAATAGCTAAATGCGCCCATAACCTGGAAAATGTAAGAAGATCAATCGGCACCAGAACTAGACGGCAAGATCATTTGGCACCTGAAATATACGGCATTTAATGTTCAAACACAACAAAGACTCAAAAATTCAAGATAAAAAGCAAAACACTAAATCTCCCACAAAAATGAAGCAGCATAAAAAAAGAAACAATCTCATGTCTTTTTTTTGTGTTATTCACTCACCCGAATGATGAGCGTAATTTGGTAAGCGCCTTAGAAAATCATCCATCGACCGACGAAGAATGCACATTAATAATAAGAAAGTCAAAAAGAAATCCCATGAAGCATATTTCTTTCCTCATTCAACATAGTTCCTCTTCTTTTCTTATTCTTCTTCGCTCACACAATCTTGTCCATCATCTCATAATTTTCTTTGCTTGCAACTTCCACCATGCAATATTAAATTGTTGCTTTAGTCGTTAATCTGTGTATATTTTAGCTTCCACTCTTTGATACAAAATTATCTTTTTAACACTTTTTGTGATGATTCACAACTGCTCTTTTTTTTGCTGCTGCTTGCTTCGGCTTATACAATAACGAATGGATGGATGGACGTGGCAAAGTGAATGAAAATGATCAAAAAGGAGGGAATGAATGAAATGATTATAAATTTTCATACTTTAATGCCTTTTTTGTTCTTCTTGTTCTGCTTTCTGCTGTATTTCGTTTGCTATTTTTTTTTTGCTTGTTGCATAAGCTTGCGATGTGCAAAGTGAATGATGAAAATGCCACACCGTTGATGATGCTTCTAATGCTTGTTATTAAGTGGAGAGAAATAAATTAGCGATATTTATGGATGCTGTAGTTATTAACAAGAAGCGATTTTGTGATTTCTTGATTTTTTTTGCTTCTGTTCCTAACAAGGGCTTTGCCATGCTTTCGTGTTAAACTGAAGGAGGATGAACGGGTAACAAAGGATCGCTGGCTACACCTCTAGTTTGTAATAAGGCTTTACACAGGAGGAGAAACTGAAACAATCTTCATACCCCCCCCCCCCCTCCCCACCCACCTTCCTCAATTCTCATTAGTTCTTACTTTTTTTGATTAATTCTCACTAGACCTCATCCATTTGAGCTCTTTTCATGATCAAAGAGATGCGAAAATATTTTCCTTTTGAGGAAATAAATTAACAAAATTTTGCCGTGGTTCAATAATTCAAATATTCGTGGAAGAAATTTTAATTATTTTTGAGCTGCTTACGAATGTAAATTTTGGAAAAACAAGATGAGCTTGTTTGTTTAGGTGTGATTCTTGTGAGAATTTTTTGTTTATCATGTTGATTACCAGCTGGATATTTTTAACAAATTAGTAACTGCTAAAGACTAGCTTCTTTAAAATACTTTTTAAGATTTTCGAGTTTAAAAGTGCAAACATCATTAAATAATCACCTGTTTACAATTCATTATCGGGTTTAAGACAACACAAGAATGCATCTTGAAAAGAGAATGGAGACAAATTAGCAGTTTTCATACTTATTATAGTTGCATGTCTGTAATTTTGGAAATTTAATGATAATTCATGATATTAAGCTGATAAAAATGCAAAAATTTAAGGAATTTTGTCTTTTAAGTTAATGATAGTGATGGTGATAATTATTGTGTCCAGCATTTAATATTTTGGTGTCTGAGCAGAGTGCAAACTGGAGTATCGAGTCAAATGAAGGCAAATTTGTCAATACGAGGGTTAGGCGTCTGTGGTTAGGCAATAGACTGTATATTTATGTCTCTTTCATGCTGGGACGTGTGTTTGAATCCTATCAGAAGCCAATCCCTCAATCAATCGTATAGATTCACACAATGCTCACGACTTTAAAAATATCAACAGTTCCAATCGAATCAAAACTGTTTCCACCATAGTTAATATGATATGTCATTTCCTTATTACGTAACCCTTTAAGGTGAGAAGTGCTCTAAGATTTCGTTACTGTTCAAAACAAAGGATTTTTTTTTCATACAAATTTGTTACAAGAGGAGAAAGGGGAACGGGTGGAGTCTAAAAAGTAGTTCTTTTCCCGTTCCTTAATAAGCGAACGGCCCCAAAACTGTTAAATCAGTTGAATCCAAGAAAAAATGATTGACATCTTATACGATATTATCATTAACTTGAGAAGAAATTCCAACAGATGTCCGTTAAATCATTTATCATTATCCATGAGGCATAATTTGACTTAAACAAAAAAAATGTTCTGAAAAAAATTAAGCACTCAAATAATAAGTTTGTTCTTTTTCAAAAAAAAAAAAGAGTTGAAATCATTTACAAAAAACTACATTCAGATACACGTACTAGAGAAGGTACTTGTTCAGAATAATAGATTGAGAATATTTGGATGTAATGTGATGAATCATCATTTCAGGTGACTCAAAATTGTAAAAATTTATAAAAGTCTGACCAATGTTGAAATTAATCTTTTGAGGAATAAATAAGGGCCGTTCACTTAAGACGTTCAGAGGATGGGAGGAGGGGGGGGGGGGGGGGGGGGGTCAGCAAGAAAAGAACAATAGAAATTCCATTGTTCTATTTTGAAAAATGACCGTTAATATCGGACGTCATTAGTGAACGACCCGATACAGTTAAGAAGGAAGGAGGCTCATGCAAAGAGGCTGTTGATATCGACAGTGTTGCATTTGGAATCGGCAATCGGCAGACTGTGGTCAACGATAGAGCTAGTTTTATGAAACGACTAAGGAAGGTAATTGATAACAATTGATCTGTACGACCAGCGAAGTAGGTAAGGAGGAAGAAGACATGTTTATAGCTTTACTTATGAGATATGGCTCGAAGAGCATATCTGTAGTAGATAGGATAGATATGTGGATGACTAATAGCCGAAATGAGATAAGTAACACGGTAGCCGAGTGGCAGGGATCTCTGATCGAGTTGTAAGAGATAGCCTCTTTTGAGGTGGTGGGTTCGATTCCCATCAAACCCGACTTGTTTTATATTAGTATACACATATAGCAGTTAAAGGGAGATCTATACATTGATATCCCATTCCTAACAACTCAATTCAAATCTCCAAAACGATCAAACATGACAAACTCTCAAAATTATACACATACCAAAAATACTCCAAAACATTCCTTAAATGATCTCAAACAAATCTTTAGGCGAAAAATTATAAAAAATTTATCCACATTATTACAAGTGTCGTTAATCACTTTATGTGATTCTTTCGAATACATAAATTTGAACACACATCTAATGACTTTAAAGTAATTTTGTTTTATTTTTCTGTATCACCAAATATTATTTATATTTTTTCAACCATTTTACCATCATTAAATATTTTATTCTTTTTTGTGTGTGCTCGAAAAAACTTCGAATCGACCGAAAAAAAAGAAACTCGCTAAAAATTTCTCATTTGTAATTTACAAAAAAAGTGCCTAAGGCATCGCTTTAGGCTATAACAATATTTTATGTCGGTTGTATTTTCTGAAAGATAGAAACTGAACGTGTATATACATAAAGCATGATATAAAGCTACCCTCCGGCAAAACAATTTTGTGAGTTGAGTTTTGAGATGTTATCGGGAGAGAGCGTAGTCGTTTCATTGTCGAAGAGCAGCAACAACAATTCTTTTATTTTTTTTTGTTCTTCATTCTTTTCCCACAAAAAAATATATATTCTCGTTTTGTGCTGTGTGAGCGGAGCCGGAGAGAGAGCAATTTTCATTTCTTTACACACATACATTCGCAAACCTCAACCGTTCGAGTGAGTTATTGAGTCATGCCGTATCGAAAGAACAAATGCTGCTTTCAGTCTCTCGCAGCTTTTCATTTGATTCAGTCGGAAATCGGAAAAAGGAGCTGGAAAAATTTTTATTTCTTTTTTTGTGTATCAACAAAAAAAAAGTGTGTGTGACTGAATGTGGATGCAGAAATTATGCAAAGTGAAAATTAAAATAAAATTGTGAAAATTAAAATTTCAGTTTCCAAAATTTTTAAAATATTGAAAAAAAAAGTGAAAAAGAATTTTAAATTATCAAAAATTAAATCAAACTTGTCAAAATTCTTCCGATAAATTTTCTCGCATATTCCGCTGCTAAGCTGGATCATCGAATGTTATCAGCCCTCGATTCAACCGCCATCAAAAGGTGAGAATTTCCATAAATTAACATTTTAACTTTATTTTTGTGGTTTTTTAATCGAACATGTCTGAAAACATATGTTGTGAGATGTCCTTATGCATACCATGCACAACAAGAACAAGAGTATGCTAATTTTTAATGGTGCAGGAATGAGACGAGGAAGCAATTAATTGCTTATGCTAAAAGGCAACAGCTAGTAAATTTTACAATGCTTAATTACGTGCTTTGACCATTTGTGCAAAGTGAGCAGCAAACAACGTTAAAACTTATGTATAGAAGAAGAAGTAGCGCCAAGTAGCAAGGCATAAATGAGAGATACAGTTTTATTACGTCCCGTAAATTGCACTTTTTTTATGCAATTAAGTATAATTGAGGATGAGACTTTAATTCTGGTAGCAACAGTTAACATTACATCCAAGCCAATTGCAACAATATTTTTTTTTTGTGTACGAATGTATGTCTATAGACACTGAGATAATGAAGAGAAAAAGACATAAGATAAGTGGAATTGCTGGTCATTTTCTAACTACTTAAGAGATATACAATAACAGAGACTGTGTACAGAGACACTTCGGGGATAATCATAAAAAAAATTACATTGTTGATGCTGTTTAGCAGGCGACGATGATGCTTTATATGTCTATGGTGATGATGAATCTATTCATATATTAAAGAAAAGTTGTCTGGCTGAATAGAAAAAAATAGTGAAAAAAAACTTTTTTCATTTCAAAGTTTCCAATTCATACTGATGTTGTTGCTGTTGATGATGATATGCACTGCACATTTTTTGAGATTATAAAATTTGAGAAAGATAGAGTTTATGTTTAGGTTGCACTTTGGGTTAATAGTTTTTTTTGTGGGATTCATAATCGAGCTGTATAAGGTCTGGACTTTAGAGGAAACTTTACGATCAAAATATTAGCTTTCCATTGTATAACTAAGGGCTGGTTTCTAGGGATACTGAGGGCGCCTTAGACAAGAAATGGAATTTGATGGACTTACAAAATGAAGCACTACTCAAAGCTAAAGTTTAGCGGTGAAGTGCCATCAGTGGCCTAAGTGATAGAGCGTTGGCCTTACAGTTCTAGGTTAAAGTATTAAAGGTTCTAAGTTCAATATCAGGGCAAGTCAAGTTTTAAAAGCTTTTTTTTCCATTTCACCGTTCTAGTTACGAAGCTCGGTTCGTTCGTTGGGTGGAGTTTTGAGGTCTTCGGCACATAACGTGTATCCTTTGCTAGGTATACAAGGATATACCAGCATCTGGATTATTTCATTTTATCGTCTTGCACACACGAATTGTGACTAGGTGCATTGTTGAGTACATCAGGTCTTTAGACGTTTTCGTGACTTTCCAATGTGCAGGGCTTGCAGGTAGTTCGGATTTCACTATAAACTGTAGGTTTTACAGTAGCACAAGAAACCAACCAAAGGGACGTAACTAGATTTTAGTTTGTGGGGTCCCAAAAATTTAAATCTGCATGTTTGACATAGTGCCGATTTGTAATTATTTGCAAATTAAGCTACAGACCTAGGCCTAGGTTTTTGACTGAGTTTGATAGGGGTCTGACTATTCTCCCACTTGGTTCAAATAGATTTAATCATGAAGTTCCTTAAACTCAATTAAGTGCCACAAAATGCGCTTCATCGCAACTCCGAAAAGCACAGATTATTCAAACCATCTCCACATGTATGAATATATTTATATTATCTATATATCTATAGATTCAATATAATATTATGAAAAAACATGAATATCGCTCATAGCAACTTTTTCATGAACCTTTCACATCACATCTCATATATACACATCCAATTTTCCGTTCGAGAGTTTCTCTCTCTCTCTCTCTTTCTCTTTTTTGTGCCTCTCTCCCCCTCATCTCACTGTGCTGTTTCGCGCCTTTAGCAATATTTTATGCAGTGATGTAGGATGAAGTGAATGATGCAAAATAAATTGAAACTGGATGAAACTATAGAATTCGGTGGTGTTTCAAAAATATATATATGATATTATTTTTGAAGTATGAATGAGGATGATGGTGGTGAGTATGCAAGCCGAGAGCCGAAAAATTAAAATGTCCTCTAGCGTCGTACGATATTTATTCATTATCAAGTTTTTGATATCATTGGAAAAAAGTATGAAATGAGAGGCATTTGACATTATTTTATATTTTTTTTTGTGTCTTTCTTTGTTCAAAACATGCATTTATTCATAAGTATTGCCTTAAGTCACTGTCGCTCTCCATCTCTCTCACATACAGATACATGTGCCTCGATACTTTTGTATGAATAAAATTGTGAACTGAAAATAACTTCATGTATCATAAATTATGATTATTATTGCATACTATATATTTTAAATCATTTCGCCTGGGCGAAAATTCATAATTATTATAATGAATGTTGGCGATTGCAATCTGTAAATGAAAATTATGTACGGGGCAGCATCGGCAACGGCAGCGAGGAAAAAATGTCCTGCGAGGCTTTTTTCTTATACACATAATTTTTTTTTTGTGGAATTCAAAAGATCGCAATTTGTTGATAACTAAAGAAATATTATTATGCTGATTTTGATTGCAAACTGCAGCCAGCTAGCACTAAGCTCTGTTGGTGCTGATAAAAGAAAAGTTTTTCAGCTATTTGATATAATTTGTTAGGGGGAGGTGTGCTTGGATGGAAAGGTAAGGATTTCGAGTGATTTTAAAGTGTCTGTGAAGTACGCCGGATCAAATTGTAAGAGAGTGGTGAAGCTTGGTCTGAATCACGTCCATTTACGTCCTGGAGTTTTTTAAAATGAGTTATGCACCTGTGTTCAATTCAGTTTGATGAACTAAAGCAGTGATGCCCAACCCATGTGCCGCAGCACTCTAGCGTGCTGCAAAAAATTTCCAAAAATCTCACGAAACGTATGTTGTGCGCGGTTTCTGTGAAGACTTACCCCCAATGTGAAAAATGTTGTCCACCACTGAACTAAAGGATCAATCGTTTTGAAATTGTCATGTTCATCTTCATCAGTTCTTTCCAAGCAAGTAGTCAGAGAGGAGGGGGAGATTTGACTGTATCTTAACTTCGCTACAGTCTTGACTCAAACAAGGTTGGCCATCACTAATTTAGAGGTGCTATTAATCATATTATGACCATTTCGGAATGCCAGAACTATAAAAAAAGCTATTGAAGCACTGATTGATCCTCAATTGATCCAAAATCCTTAGAAAAAATATTAAACTAAAATAGAAAAGTTGCAACAGTCTTCAACAATTCTGAACCACTAAGCAATGATTCATGATCAATTCCACAAAGAATTCAACTCAATCTGTCAACCCCCTAGTTAGAAGTAAGTTGAGCTATGGTGCCTGAAGCCTACAGCTCTAGATAGTCTTCATCTCCATCTTACAGTCATAGAAAAAAAAAATCATTTTTGGATATACATAAAGCAGTATAGAAATAGTCTATATACAGCGTTGGGGTTCACTTGTTTTCAACATTTCCCTCGTGGCACTTTCAGCTCGATGGATTATGAAATAGAATAGATAACATTCCGAGAGGTTTTTTTTATATTATTTTTTTTTCCTTTTCTGTTCATACTGAGTGCAACCTACGGCGATCATTTCTTCTTCGCATTTCTTTTTTTTTTTGCTATTCTCAAACAAATGTAGACACAGAAGAGAATTTTCATCCACACATATTGCTGCTGTGTGTTCGGTTACCTCGTTTGGGGGCTTCATTAGTCCTTGAAGCCATACGAAGATATCAAGCCATTTCCCTTCTTAATGTTTCATTTAATTTTCAAACAAGGAAGGAAAAAAGAAGCGAGAGAGAAAGAAATTGCGGCATGAAAGGAAGAAAAGCTCGTTAGAAAATTTAAATGAAAGACGGAAAAGCTTTGAGCGATGTGAGAATGTACAAGAGGGTATGCAAAAAAAAAACACCGACAACAAAAGAGAAAGAAGGAAAAAAAGAGAAAATTTCATTTTCAATATCAAAAGAGCTTTTTTTTGTATTCTCTGAGAGAACAGCACATTGGATGCTGTGGTGAAGAATCTTCTTTAGTTACACTTTTATCATCAACATTATCAGACACAATGTAGCAATTTGTGTAATTTTCTATCTACAATGTGCACATAATTAGCATGTAAACTAGTTGAGATTAACTTTTTGTGTGGGAAATAGAAAAGGAAGTGAAAAAGTAAAATGTTTTCAGTATTTGATGCTAAAAGGTAAATGATTAAAGTGTTTTTTTGGGGTCGTTCATAAATGACGTCTGTCAATAAATCACGAAAATCCTCTATTCATTCGTTATTAAGTTTTTTTGAGTGTCTTCATATCTCTGGCTTTCTTTTTGTGACTAAATTATCTTTTAGGACTCATCCAGAAATGACGTCTATCGAAAATATTAAATTTGTCTTGTAGCCTCTTTGGAAACTTTACTTTTTCCCAAAAATCATATTTTGTTGTCATTTTGCTACCCCTCAGTTTTTAAAAAAATAGACATCACTTACGAATACCCCCCTCATAAACTTTCCAGTCTTCTTTTGTAAAATTCAGTTCAATTGTGTAAATTATCTTCTTTTAACAGACTTTTGTGTGGGAATTACTTTGTTCTTGTAGTACATTTAAGTGTTCAAAAATATTCAGTTCTTAAGGGTATTTTCATATCAACTTATGGGGGTATAAGAGACTTATTTACGGTTCAGAATTTTCTCTGATCAGAAAATAGCCACAAAATGGACTGAGTGTTGAGCTTCGGGTTAAATTTGAATTTCAATGAATTGTAAAAAAATACGTTTGAGGATACATCAAAACAATACATTTTAATGTAGATTAAGGGGAGATGTTGAGTTTTGGAACTTGAAAGCTGGTTTGTTGAATTAGAATAGAATTTGTTTGGAAATTATTAATTGGGGTTATACATATATGATGTCAATAGAAGTGTTGATATATTTGAGATAATGACTGCAATACAATGAAGGATCTGGCTAGGAATCCATATAGAGATTTAATTCAGAATG